AATTGTTATCATTGTATTTCACCCATTTGTTATTGTATTGTTGCTTATTTTTGTTCGAGGTTTACCAAGTTGCTTATAAAAAGTCTCCTTTTTGTAAAACAACATTTTTGGTCCAAAAAGCCTCAAATTTTTAATTAAGGCCCAAAGTTAATAAAAATAACATTTTTGTCCCCATTTTTGCTCAAAACTTGTATTTATAGCTAGTTTTGGTAAAAATAACATTACTAACCCATTTTTGTCAAAAAATATCATTTTTGGCTTGATTTTTGTGAAAATACACATTTTTATGGTTTTTGACTTTTCAGACTCGGTTGTTGAAAAATTTGTAGAAAAATCATCGTAAGTCGAAATTTGGATCCGTAAGCACTGGAAGTTTGGAAATTTTGTCTACTTTGTTCATAATTTTTCTCATAATTTTTAATGGTCTCTAACAAGTTTGAAATTGCTCACCTTCACAGGCTGGTCCGAAATTATTTCAAATATGATAGGCAGTTTTGTAAAATTCGCCAAACATTGTAGAAAAATCGTATGAAAACGTGAGAGTAGTCATTTTAAAGGTATAAACCTGAACCTTTTGCATGTAAAACAGTTTTGAAAAATATTATCATTAAGTCGATCAAAACAGTTCGAGATTGGACCAAAACGTTTCTGTCAAGGGCTGATTTTTTGAGTTTAGTTTATAGATCTTTGAACACAACACTCATTTTTGCTATTTTAAGTGTATAAATCCCATATCTACAAGTTTACATGTATTATATGTGATAACACATACTTTTCTCAAGGTTTTCATGTAGATCCAAGTGATAAACTTTCATATTCTTAACATATTTCTAGATTTATGACGAAAATAACACATAATCACAAAATCAACTAAGAAATCACACAAGACATGCATATAACACATAGATCTACACATTTTACTTGTATTCTCCCCCAAAAATCATGTAAAAACCGAAAACAAGGGGGTATGAACTCACCTTTGCTTGTTGTTCTCGGTTTTGAAGAGGAAATGAAGAGATTTTTGGTCCTAGCAACACCTTGATGTAGATTTCGAGCTTATGAAGTTTTCTAGGAGTATGATCACCAAAAGCTTGTCTAGAAGGAGTGATCTAACATGAGAAAGGAGTTATATAACTTGGATATGGAAAACTTACCAAAGAATGATGATTTTATTGTGAAAACTCTCTTGAAACACAAGCAAAATTTCGAGATTTTTAAGAAAGAAGGAGAATGATTCTTGAGAGTGTTTGAGAGAGTTTGATGTTGTGTGTGTGTGTGTGGTCTTTGCTCTTGGCCGTAAATAGAATGAGAGAGGGGAGAGAAAGGTAAGGATGTGATGGATACTTGGATGCGTGAGATGTATGGGTTATTTAATGGGTAAATTGCATGGAAGTCCATTATACAATAATGATGTGTCTAATGCTAGTTAATCCCCTTATTTTCCTTTTTTTTATTTAAAAAAACATGGGCCGAGATTTGGGCTAGGAGGAAGGAGGGTGAATTAGTTTGGCCCAATTATTTCTTTGGTTCGAAATTATGAAGCCCATAAAGAAAATTTTCGGCCCATTGGGCCTTTAGGGTAGTTCACGGCCCAAATGGCATAAAAGAATGGGTTATATGGTCCATTAGGGTTAATTGGAGTTGTTATGGCCCAAAAGGCCCATTAAGGGTAAACTAATTTATTTTGGACCCAAAATGGCCCAAAATGCTAAGTTTTATGGAAGTGGGTCCAGTTAGAGCCCATTTAAGGGTCCTAAGCCCAAAATAGTCGAATCGGAAGCTTATTGGTCCATTAGGCCCAATAAGGAGATCCTAGTCCAAAGTGAACTTGAAACGGGATGTCTAGGGTTTTCAACTCATAGTTGAACATATGAGATGTATTGTATTAGGTTTTGACCTTCATTCAAGAGTTTGGATTCAAATGGATGACGTTGATTGAACATAGGGTACGATATTCACTTAGAGTACAAGCCTTACAATAGATGATGTTTTCATGAGAATAGAATTTCCTAGCAAAAATGCCAGTTGTGACAATGATGATATTGCAACTCTTCAGGTCCTCTCTAGAGAGGAAAAAAAGTTATAGGGCCTTCATTGGTCAAAAAGTGGAGGATCACACCAAACCTGTTGGATATCAAGACTCATGTCTCAGGCATAAGCATCCAGTGTTCCTCTGGTGCTGGCGACTCTAAGAAAGACAATGAATTAAGTATTTCCTCGCATCCACTGAAAACTCTAGCGTAGTCGTCATATGAACTCAATAACTCGTCTAATTACAAACGTCTAATGAGTACAATCAATTCTTCCTAACATTCTTGGGAAACCGTTTGCTGCTTTATGTGCATCAAACAACTTTTCAACATTACTACTCGTAGTTTCACGAATATATATTTTGTAAAGCTGTATAACATATTCACAAAATAAATACATACATTCTCATCCTAATCTCTAAAATATATTTAGATATGGACAAATTACACGAATGGTCCCTATGGTTGGTGGTTGTTATGCGCCTATAACTCCATTTTTTAACCCTGCCAATCCTTAATAGTTTGATTTATTACACGCCTGGTCCCTTATCTAACCTGTCGTTTGATTTTGGAGTTAAAACACCCACGTGCCTTGTACGTTGGGGGTATTTCCGTCATTTTACTTATTCATACTATCGTTAGTTTAAGAAATCGATGTGTTCAATTACACGATCATACTCTACATTGTACAACACACTCGTATACCAAAAAAAAAACATAGTTATGTGCAAAATCCTTACATGAAAACCCTAGGTGCGACGACTGCAAGAACGAATCGATTTCTTAAACTGGCGGTAGTATGAATAAGTAAAATGACGGAAATAACCCCCAACGTGCAAGGTACGTGGGGGTTTTAACTCCAAAATCAAACGACATGTTAGATGAGGGACCAGACTTGTAATAAATCAAACTATTAAGGATTGGCAGGGTTAAAAATGGAGTTAGGGACTAGGCGCATAACAAACACCAAACCGTAGGGACCATTTGTGTAATTTGTTCTTTAAATATTCATCTGATGCGTCGGTAGTGATGTTGTAGTCAAAAGCCGAATGGTGGTCGTGTACTTTGTGGTGTAGTAAAACCCCGTCTACATCTAGCATCACATCTCAACTGAAAGAATTTCTAATTCCCTTCCAAATCATTAGCTATAAGTAGGAATAATTGTATAATAAAATGTAACCGTCATTTAAATGACTCATGGTTGTAAAAGAAATCATCCACAAAATAATCAGATACAAGAAATTTGTTAGTAGTTGCAAACTTTCTACTTTTTGATTGAACATGGTGCCTACCACTTAAACAAATATTTTGTAAAAACATCTTGTCGTTTGATAAAGATGAAGTTGAACCAAAAAGAAATTCATAGTTCAAGTGTTTTTGTAGAATACTTATGAGAATAGAAGTGTAAAATGGTTGTATGAAAATTATATAAACTGGTCATTCCTGAAGATTTAAATGCTCAGGACAAATTATAAAAAAGTCTTTATCTCTATTATAAGTTTTTTAATTATAATTATATATATATATATATATATATATATATATATATATATATATATATATATATATATATATATGTGGGCCCCAAAAAAGTTTGGCCCTATACAGTTGCTAACTTCCCCCCCGCCCCTTCTCAACAGCCCACGTGTATATTATGTAAAAGGTTAATTTTGAAAAAGAAACAACAACATTTAGGCTTCCACCGGTCAAACTTTTTGAAAGACAGAGAGGTTATGAGACATGACAAAGCCATATCTTGGCACACCAAACACCAACCATGCACAAAGGGAGGTGTGCACACCTCCATGCCAATGTTACATCAGCTTCACATCCTCAGAGTAGGAGGTATAACTATAGTCGTATAACATAATGTAATTTTTATAATATCTATCATTTATTATATTTTATTATATTTTATTACCTGGATATCATAAAAAAAACATTCTTTCATGATATTGAGCTTATCAATGGTATTCACTATAAAACAAGCTAAACTTTTTTTCTTCGTAAAATGATATTTTTTGGTCTTTTTTGTGAAATTAATTAATGATATTTTGGGATAAAACACATTGGGACCCAATTCTTATTGTCATTTTAGCAATTAACCACGAAAAAAAACCATATACAAATGGGAGGTGATATTTTCATTTTGGTTTTTTATTCATCCAATTAAAAATAATTTGATTTGAATTTTATATCTTTCATCATGATTTTTTATTTTCAATTAAAATGCGAGAAACTCAATTCACCTTAATTTTAAGTGAACGAAGCAGATCCTAAATGGAAATAAGCACCCTATCTGCTACATGGCATGATACACAAGATACACCTGACAATTTGATACACGACACGATTGACACAACATGAGTTTTCCATATATGGATATTAGAAATTTGTGTTTTGTGTTTTTTCATTTCGACACAAATTCTAATTCATGTTTTTGTATCTTACACCTATTAAATACAAACCAACCTATTTATACACCTATACATGTATAGACATGATACACGCAACATGTATAAATGTATAAATATGTATAGACATGGATTAAATGAATATTTTCTTAGCTTAATTAATGGTAGCAGCCAATGCGTATTTAAATTCGTATATAAATCCATGTTTTCGTGTAACACAATTAAAAATGTATCTATTCATGTCGTGTCACATGTCACATAGATTAATTGTGTGTTGCGTTCATGTTTGATTCCCAAAATAGGTTTTACAGTTTATGTTGTGTTGGTATTTCAATTTTCACAAAAATCTGTAACTTATGACCGCGCATACACAACATGGAAACACAAATTGCTACATGAGATCTACATACATATACCATAGATGGAATATAATGTTTAGTTACGGGGGTAAAAGTGACAATGGGCTAATAGTCTAGGGACCAAAATATAATGTGAAACTAGTCGACGGAGGTTTATGGCTGAGAGGAGAAGTCGGAGTTGAGCATTTTGCTTTTGCAACGAAGCGCTCCCGCTCGACATCGTGGACAAAATCATAAGAATTTCAAAATTACAAAATTTTTCTCAAACGAGATTCAATAATGTTGCAGAATTTTCCCAAAATTGAGAGAATTTGCAGAGAAAACAAATGAAATTTGAATTCAAGGAATAATTCTTAAATCGATAGCAGAAAATTTCCCCAATCTTTAGTGCTCGTTTAGGTTTCTGATCATATTATCGATTAAAGGAGGTTTTGAATCAGTTACAATATGGTATCGGGCTGCTTTCTAGAATAACAGACGGAGCTCCATCATCGTCTTCTTCATGGCTAGTCAAGAACCGTAACGTTCTTCTTTTCGAGCTTTATCTTTTTTTTTTCTTTCCTTTTTTTTTTGGAAATTTCAACTTCCTACAAGTTTGTTTCAACCTATAACGACTTCATTATGTGAATTATGTGGTCTTTCTCTAGATTTTTCCTAATGATTACGGTGTACATGTTATTTTATTCGGTGATTTTGAGGAAATTTGGTTAATACTTTAGTAATTATCAGTTTCTCAAGGAAATTTGTAGCTTTATTATCATTAGAACCAACGTTTTCTGACCTAGAAATATACATGAATTCATTCGATTCTGCATCTCCAATTTAGGTAGACCAAAACGTCGAATTGTGATCAAAACTTTTTATAAAAAGGGAGTTTAGTTTCTGTCGCATGCTTATATTGATTTGTTTATTATAGAATCAATTTCTGTCCACTGTTCATTCCGGATTTTTGACTTCAAGTTTGATGATGATTGACCATATTTTCTTCTGATTGTAGGCCATGTTTTGGAATACATCTTGTCCTTTTTTCATGTGACAATTAGTTTGCTGATTCATGCTTTGAATGTTATTTTATTTGATTCTTTCTCCTCTTATTCCCTATATAAAAGTTAGTATATTACTTTTCAAGATATACCATTACGTTGTTTGGTTATATGATTATAATTTATCAAATTCAACATGTATTTCAAATTAAGAATATTATGCTAGATTATGTTGTTTAGTGTCTTATGTGTTGACTGTTTTATCTTTGAAATTTTATCACTTGTTTGACTTGTGGTTTCTTTCCAAATGCCAATTTAGGCTTCTCATATTCTCATAAGGTATAAATACTTTGTATTCATTAATTATTTTTTACAGGAGAAAAGGTCATCACCTATCTCGTGTCCTAAAGAAAATCTTGGAAAGTAAATCTCACGCAGAACATAAAACACTTTGGTCTTCTGCTTCTGCACAAGGTACTAATTAGTAATTACAATTAATTCTAAAAATACAATTTAGTGTTGTTGATTTAAATATGTTTATTTATAAGTAAATGATTTTAGCCAGATTTAAGATTATTTGAGATGGAAAAAGAGAAAGAAGATGTAACTTCTCCTAGAGGAGTTTTGGAAGCATGTGTAAGAAGCTTTGAAGACCCTTCAAATTCAAATGCAAATTCATCTGAAGAAAACCAAATAAATGAAAGCGAATCACCCCCACGTTCAAGGTGGTTAAAATTCTTCAATAAGTGGAAAAAAGGATTTTCTAAAAAAGTTCCAGCTTTACCCCCCACTACACCAAAAACTTCTAGAAGAAAATCCATGAGTGTTAGAGAGAATCATCCAGATGTTAATTTATGCCATTTCAAATCTTCATGGAAAGTTCTATCCATTGCAGAACTTAATGCTGCAACCAACAATTTTAGCGAAGGTATGCAATTGCTTCTCTTTGAATCTACTTAGAATAGCTTTTAAGGAGCTTTTTCAAAAATTTCCAAATATAGTCCTTAATTAATTATAGAAACACATTATTTTATATGCCATTTTATGTAATTTTATATCTTTCAGCTAGCTTTTCAGTTACTTTTACCAAACACCATTTTTTATCAGCTAGTTTTTTATTTAACGGCCAACTTTTCAGCTATCAACTAGCTTTTCAGCTAGTACGTCAAACATAAGGTTATGTTTGGAAGACTGTTTCAAAAAACTAGCCGGTAGCTGAAAAACTAGCTGATAGCTGAAAAGATAGCTGATAGCTGAAAAGATAGCTGGTAGCTTATAAGCTAGCTGACAAAAAATGACGTTTGGTAAAAACTAGCTGATAAATAAGTAGAAAGATATAAAATGACATAAAAAGACATTTAGAAGAATATGTTTTTTTTTTTTTTTAATAATTAGTTTAGAGTATATTTGGGAAACTTTCAAAAAGCTACTCAAAGTAGCTTTTTAAAAAGCTAGTTTATCAGCTACTTTTTGGTTTGCCAAACATGACAATTAAAAAAAACTCGAAAAATAAGCTAGCTTATCAGCTAGTTGTGGCACGCCAAACATAGCCTTATAGTAAATTACATTTTGCTCCCTCCCACGAGTATAGATTTCATTTGTGCACATAAAGTTGGTTGTTTACTTAAAGATTATATTTTCTTATATTATAGAGAATGTGATTGGAAAAGGTGGTTATGCGGATGTTTACAAGGGTTGTTTATGTGATGGGAAGCTAGTGGCAATCAAACGACTCAACAAAGGAACAATGGAAGAGCAAATAATAGGATTTTTATCCGAAATTGGAACCATAGCACATGTTGATCATCCAAACACTGCTAAATTGATTGGATATGGAATTGAAGGTGGAACACATCTTGTTATGGAGTTATCTCCTCATGGAAGCTTAGGATCATTGTTGCGTAGTGGTAAGTACATTCAACATCCCATAATTTTCTTTTTTCTTTTTTCTTTTTTTCTTTTTATTTAACATAAACCATGATTATTTTGCTTTTAGGTCCAAAGGAGAAACTAGATTGGAATGCAAGGTATAAGATTATACATGGCACAGCTAACGGTTTATTGTATCTTCATGAGGATTGTCAAAGACGAATCATTCATAGAGATATCAAGGCTGATAACATTCTTCTTACAGAAAATTTTGAGCCACAGGTTCTTAAAAAATAAAAATAACTAATTAATGTTTCATTGATGTTATTCATGTTTCATGACTAAAATTCAATTTGAATTTTTAGATATGTGATTTTGGTCTTGCAACATGGCTTCCAAAAGAATGGACTCACCATAATGTATCAAAGTTTGAAGGAACATTTGGGTATGTAAAAAGTAAAATCAAAATTCTAGTATTACTATTTATGAAAATCACAATGAGGAGGTTTTAACTTTTATATTAATTAAACATTTTTTTCTTGAACAAAGTTATTTTGCACCCGAGTATTTCATGCATGGCATAGTGGATGAAAAAATCGATGTGTTTTCTTTTGGGGTGTTAGTTTTGGAGATTATAACAGGACGACAAGCTTTAGATGATTCACAAAGAAGTCTTGTACTTTGGGTAAGACATTCTTTTTTTAAATATAGATTCATATATTATGTTTGTATAACTGACTTATTAATTTATGAGACAAATTAATTCTTTTGAAGGCAAAACCTTTGATGGAAAATAATGTAATTAGAGAATTAGTTGATCCGTGTCTTGGTGATGATTACAACCCACAAGAATTGGAGCGTGCAATTATAGCAGCTTCGTTGTGTATTGAATTAACTCCGGTTCTTCGCCCTCGTATGAGTCAGGCAAGTCTTTTTGAATCTTTTTAATTTATTTATTTATAAAAATTAAAACTATTGTCATCATGTACCTCTTTGGGCATTTAAGACATTTATAAAAAAAATGCTATGTTAAACGATGGAGTTGTTATGTTTTAATTTAGGTTGTGATGCTATTGAGAAACGATTACAATCCCAAGGGTTCAACACCACAACAGAAAAAACGAGCATTTCAAAGAACATATTCAGAAGAGCACATGGATGCTCAAGAGTACAATGTAACAAAGCATCTTAACAATATGCCTCGAATCTGAAGAAAAAAATATATTCATTTTAAGAGGTTTACCAAAGAAAAACATATAATCCTTAGGGACTTTAGTTGTACATACGGATTCTTGTTATTATTTTTTTTTAACTTAAGTCTAGCATCTTGGGCATTTACTAATGTAAACATGTTACATATGTACATCTTATTATTATTGCTCATTGTATAGGAAACACATTATTTCAGTTATTTTATATAACATTTTATTTTAAGTACGATATGATTCTTAAGCATTAAATTTCGTCAGAAGGTTAACATATATTATTAATTTGTTTTCTTTTTGTAATATTGTGTATAACCTCTGTCATGCTCAGTTTCCATGAAAAACTAATTACACTATTTATAATCTAAGATATTCTTTAACTAAATAAAATCGTTATCTAGATGTACATGATAATATATGTGTTTGAAAAATCAAAAATACTGTTGTGATCCTTGCGTTGTGATCCTTGTGAATCAAGAAATCAGTTGTAACAAAATGATGTCTACATATCGATGTGTGGATAACACTTTATATTTTCTGCAAATATAAACAAATTTTGTATGACTACACATAAGTTTTTCGCGATTGTAAACTGTCTTTTACAGGGCCATTAGTAATTGACAAAAGGGAAAATGACTCTCGAGGGTAATTAACTGTTGCGTTTGTTTTCATTTGGTACCTTTCCTTTTTTTTGTACTCAATATACCATCGAACTTGTTATTTGTGATAGTCGGTCAAAGGGTTATGGTGAACACAAACAACAAGTTCGATGGTATATTGAGTACAAAAAAAAGGAAAGGGTCCAAATGAGAACAAACTCAATAATTGGTTACCCTCCTGAGTCATTTTCGCCAAAAAGTTCAATGAAATTAAAGTTGCAAAATTATCAAAGACTGCAACCTTCTTTGGCCATAACGTATATGAAGAGCGTTTCGGAGGGGTAACTTCATTAAAACATGGTCTATGCTATGTTTACTGTGTGGTTAGCTGTCAACACCTTTCTACAAAAAGATATGAATGTGTATGAGAGGTATATTTATCATCATAAACGTTTACCTCAAAGTATATTATGGTGATGTGTCTGCAAAAGCTGCATGATATTATACATAATGATGTTGTATCTTATCCCATGAATTCGATCTTAAAGCTAAGTAAACTCAAAAATCACAGCACTTGTGATTCCACTCGTTTGTAGACTTGTTTAGAATTCATGATACGATAAATCATTTGATTGGAATTGTAAATGTAGTCATGAAATGCACCTGTTTAGTTAAGATTCCCCTAATAAATATTCAAGTGTATTACAAAGTTGTACATGTATGAATAATGTTCTTTCACGGGTTAAGTTTTGAAGAGAAACAAGAATGAATCTCATAAAGTCATTAATATCAACAGGAGATGACGTGGGATTTGCTATAAATGAGTAAAGGGAAAATGAATCAGGAGGGTAACCAACTGTTGCATTTGTTCTCATTTGGTCATTTTCCTTTTTTTTGTACTCAATATACCATCGAACTTGTTGTTTGTGTTCACCATAACCCTTTGACCAGCTATCACAGGTCAAAAGGGTTATGGTGAGCACAAACAACAAGTTTGATGGTATATTGAGTACAAAAAAAAGAGACCAAATGAAAACAAACGCAACAGTCAGTTACCCTAAAGAGTCATTTTCCCTTGACAAAAAGATCAAACGTTTCAATAAGTGACAAAAAAAATAATAATAAAAAAATGAGTGCCTATTACACAAATTTGTAGCAGTGAATATTTCTATTAGTTGGTCATATAAATGTATAATATGTTAATACAGTAGCGGAGTCGGTGTCAAAGTAAAATGGTAGCACAAAAAAAAATCATGTAATATACAATAAAAAACCCGCAATTTTAACAACAAATAATCACTAATTATTAACCCTAACTCCCTAATTAAATAAACATAATTGTCAATTTCTAGTTTTTCAACATAATGACAAAATGAAATTTTAAAATAACCTAACAGTAAATAATAGGATAAAGTTTTTTTATTAACTTATTTGTTTCATTGTGCAAGACGACCACAGGAGGGAGTTCACCGGAAAAAGACCATCGGTAGCAACATATCTTCAGCAACAACAATAGACATTTGCGTGAAGTTGTGAACAAGAGGGGATGGTACTTGGGAATAATAAACAGTGACAACAAGTTTGGTTCTTCTAATTTTTTGCAAAACAAGAAAATTGGGCTTTCATTAAACTAATGTCTTTTGGGCTTTCTGTTTTTCTTTATTTCATTAAACTAATGTCTTTTAGGCTTACAAAGTTTCAACCACTTAAACATACCGGACATTCAGACTTTTTAAAATATTTTGAGCTTATTTTGTAAATGGAACATTATGTTTTCTAATTTTTTTTTTTAAGTTTAACCACTTACCCGGTTGCCGACCGACATGACATGATGGCGTGACGATGACGTGGCAGTCTTTGATGACGCTGGCAATGGGTTTTGAAATTGAAAAGACATGACATTCTTTGACGGTGATGACAATAGGTGTTGAAATTAAAAAAACAAATGTGGTGACTTTTGTGATAGTTATCCAAAATATAGTAATTTTTGTACAATTTGGTGTTATCATAAAAAAATGAAATTGAAACACTAGGTCTAATTATTATTTATATGATTTTAACTTTTATAAGTATCGGTTTTTATACACATCCAACACCATTTTTATATGTATTTTGGACATATTTACACACCCATTAACTCTTTCCTTTATCTTCACCAAAGTTAACCCAAGACTCAGATTCTCATTCCACCTTATGCATAATCAATGTTGCTATTAACGTATCCCTCTAAGAATACGTTAAAGATAACATAACTGCTATTTGTAGGACGGCCTAGTTAACTATTGCTACCCGACCTAGTGTCTGACCTGGGCCCTTGCCCTAGTGGTCTCGTGCTAGGACCTTGGTACTTGGTGTTGGATTAAGTATCTAAACTCATAACTATAAATGATATAAACTTGAATTGATGGTAGCACAATCATTTTGGATTGCCCTCAAACCTAACAATTGGACATGATAATTTTGGAGAGAAAGTTAATTTATTATTTGAATAACAAATTATAATAAATAATTTGTTAATATATTATGAGAATAATATATTAATTATAAATAATAATATTTAATTAATAATTAACCAGAAATTGATTGGAATTAATTTTAGGATTAATAGAATTAATTAAAAGTGCAGGGACTAAAGTGAAATTATTAAGTAGTTGAGCAAGAGGCATTCTAGAACCTCCTTATAAGCTTGGACGGTTTCTAGGGGTTTCTTAGAGCTCAAGAATTATCCTTGGAGGATAATTAGGAAGCTGGATAGTTACCAAAATAAGATAATGGTATTTTATTGGTTTGGGGCTTATCTAAGGTTTCCTACTTGCACTATACAAAGGATCACATGCATTGAAAATTTCGGTCACTTCAACCCTAACAGAATTCCGGAATTTGCCTCCCCTCTCCATAATCCTTAGTTGCTAGTTTTGGGTGTGAGCCATCGGAGGCACGACGCTTGTGGTGCTAGCTGCCAAAAGATTTGAAGAATGTTTCAAGGTTGTTTGCAATAACAATCTTCAAGGTAAGTTTCTTGTTCATTTGAATTCGATTTTCATAGGAAAAGTTTTATAGGATGATAATTCATAGTATGTTGCCAATATATGAAAGACTTAGATCCTTATTAGGTTGCATGTGTAACGTCCCAAAAATAAGACCCACAAAAATTATTTTTAATTTAATAAAAACAGTATTCCAAAAACATCATCAATATAATCCAGGTAAAACAAGTGTAGCAAACATCATATCAAATCAGAGTAATCACAAAACGCGGAACGAGGTGGTGTGTGCTATGCAATTATCTCGAGCCCTTCCCTTTGGAACTGGAAGTACCTGAAACATAAACTGAAAACCATAAGCACAAATTTTAGTGATTTCCCCAAAATACCACATACCATACATAATAAACACATAATGGGCTCTGCCCGCCCGGCATCGAGCCCCTCTCGGTATACAGATCGGGCCCCGTCCATCATACATATAACATATATCAAATAAACACATACACATGCAATAATCACAAAGATACATATCATAAAAGATGGTCATTAGGCCCCGCCTGGTAAGCATACAAGTACATAACACATGCAAGAGTCACGCAGACGACTAGTATACTAACATAACATAATCATGGGCCGACATTGGTGCCTTTGACCCGTAAAACACAGTGAGAAAACTCACCTCGAACTGTTGAATCACACTAAAAGATCTCTGGCTGCTAGTCCGATAAATCCCCAAGCTATCAATACCAAATAACATCCAATTAATAGTTTGGATTCCAATCGATAACTATCATACCATAATTAGGGTAAAAAATACTATTTTACCCCTTACGTAGTTTGGTCCAAGACTAAGGCCTAAACTCACAATCCAAAAGTCCTAGATCCTAATTAGCCACCCAAGGCCCAATTCATGGCCAAATTTTCCAAATTGGGCCCAATTCCCATTGTGATCCCTCTCAAAATAATTATCAGCCCAAAACCTGATGGCCAAACAGGGCCCAAAACAACTAAGCCTAAAAGATGGCCCAAACCGAAGCCCAAACACCGAAGTCCAATCCTGCTGAGTACCGCGTACTCAGTTGTACGCTAAGCGTACACGCTTTAGGGCTTGTACGCCCAGCTTACTTCCCCGTTCAGCCATCTTCCACTTTTAACCCTTAATCCATTAAGACATTGCTCCAAAATGTAGATCTGACTTCCTTGAGTTGGTTAACCACGTAAAGTTGCTAACTTTACGTTCATGCATGGCTAAATGAAGCTCTTAAAGCTCAAAATGACTTAATAGGCGACATAATACATGCATGAAACCATAAACCCCATAAAGCTTGCACCTTTATGCCTAAGAACCTCATAACATGCTCAGATCTAAAAGGATAAGCCCTTCTAACGTCTTAACTCATCAATCAACCCAAAAAGGGACTAAAAGCATAAAAATCAAGACATAAAGAGATCTAAGCATACAAAAGCCAAGTTATGAACTTCATACCTCCAAAGACTTGCAAGATGAGTGGTGATTCTGGATCTATAAACTTCACACCAAGC